ATTTTGGCAACTTCGGCCAGTGTAGCAGCACACGACATCAGTTTTTTTTTTAAAGTGATTTGTATCTTTTTTTTGTGTGATCAGCTGTTTATTTGCTTATAAAAACTTTTGCATCTATTATAGTTTTTCATGCTGAATTCGATGGTCGTGATATTTGATCGTATGATTTCAATTTGAAAAAACAGTTGGAAAACGTGGAATGCGAGGAATCGCATTTGTTTGATGAGATCACAAACTGAAGAAGAAGAATAGATTTCTCAGAGGTGATTAGTGCAAATGTATGCAAGTGTATTCATTGATTCTCCAGCGACAAGAATATAAAATATTCGTATTGATTAAAATAATGAAGCTCTTTGCATGCATGGCAGATAGCATGAATTAGTAACAAGGTGTTCGTGCTCGTCACTTCACTAGATGGCAGACATCGTCAAGAAGGAAATTACACATGACAGGATGATAATTGCTTTATGATGTGCTTAGAAACGAAGACGACGTTATTTTTATTGAACGTCGAAGTGTCACATTCATCTAATATAATGCATCGATCTTCACTTAACGACCGCTCACAATCTTCTTTTCTGACACAACTGAATTGTATCAGTTACTTATTTGCATTCAGCGCACGCCATCTCTCCAATGTGATACGATTGCGCGATGAGTTTTAATCCGGCAATACACTTCTTTATCCATCTTCAAGTACTTTTTGTTACCATGTGCGACGAAAAAAAATAAATCGATTTAAGCATAAATTTATAAGTTACTGCAAATTCATCAACATCATATTCGCATCAAAAATATTTCACAGAAAGCTCGATTGCCNTAAACACAAATGACAATATAAGCAAACAAAGTAATTCAGAGTGAAAGCAGCGTTGAAGAGTCGTTGTTGCTATTTGTGTATGACAGCAATCGCTACCATTTGAGGAATGTTGGTGTTTTTATTGGGAGTGCTCACTGGAGTCTTTTTGGTACTGCTCATTGCTTATGTGTATTTGTTCAGCTCTCTCGAAACGTTCGACAAATCCGCTTCGCCGTTTGTCGATCAATTTCAACCAGTTAGATTAGCTCCGGTTTGTTTCTTTTCCGTTTGTTTTAAAAAATGCTCATTGTTTGGCCGTTCTTTCTGAGTATTGCTGAACGAATTGTGTTCATTTGTCAATTGTGAAGTGTATTTGTCAACACTCATCATTAGTGCCAAGTCGTTTTAAGTGGTCGGATTTACACTTGTTCCATTCCACATTGAACGTATCGCTCTGCAAAGATTTTGGTTTCTAGGTGCTACGCAACTTTTTGAAATCGTCGAGAGAGGATCCGAATAAACCAAAATGGGAGTCGTGCTACATTCTAAGTCTTGTTCTGCATTTCCTTTATCAAGAACACAACGACACGCGACGTTTTCGAAGGTAATTTCCGTTGCTTTGCATTCACTAGACATTCACTCGATTTCTCTTCGGTACAATCGTAATCGTTGATCGACACCCTGTCGACNATACGATGAGACGAATGCGATTCACCAATTACTATATTCTTTTTATGAGTCCAGTGAAGCAGTTTGTTGAATAATTTTACTGTGAAGAATCAAAGTTCATGAATTTTAAGGTGGTTCCATAAAAGACTTCAGCTGGAACTCAATGACATAGTAACACGCTCTACTGCTGGCCGTCTTATTCAGGTATTTCCATTTATTTCCGTCTGTTAAAACTCATAATCCTTGTTGCATTTTGTGTCGATTGTTTTATTATTATCTCGATCGGGGTGAAAAACTTGGAGCATTGCTGTTTGCTATCATTGTGTGAGTTTTTTTTGGTAAGGATTGATCAGTCCGTTCGTAGCAATCCGTGGTAATTGATGCTTTCAGGATATTCGTATCCGCGATCTCTCAACGGGTTCACAATTTCCGGTCTTGAATGGCGCTAGTTGTGAAGGTTATCGTCTGTCGGAAGATAAAGAGCATTTTGATGTAAGTTTTTGTTTATTCATCATTTGAAAACTCTATTGGTTTTGCCATATGTCAAAGTAAGAGTGTTAATTCAGTGGTTGAGTATTCTGTTGGATATTGACTACAAGGGTGCGTTTCAAGCATCAATCGATGTCTCGTTGTTATTCGGTCGATACGCACAATTATCTGTAAAGGTGAATTTCATTTCGTTAATCTCATTTCCGCCTTTCTTTTTTCAATTCTCTTTGAGATCAAATATTTCTCATTCATCATTACTTGTCACATTGCGCAAAAAAATGAGCAGTGGTTCAAATAGTATAATTGGAAGTAACGGCAGTATTTTGTTTTGTGGCTAATTTTGGAAAATGTTATGATTGTATTACGTAGACGATGAAATTAGAAATGAAATTTGAATAGGTTGCCGAATTGTCGGGTAAGGCCAGATTAACGCTGACACGAGAACCGTATACTCATTGGACATTCGCGTTTGTTGAAACGCCTTTTCTCGATTTTAAAGTTAGCTTTTTAGATCATTGATTAACTTTTAAAATTTTATTGTTCATTATGGAAGAGAATTTGTTTTAAAACGATTCCTTGCATGCCGAATTAATGTCAGAGTTTCAATGTTAGCTTCTTATGGATTCATTCTCTTAGTCATTTGTCTGTCATCGATCCGTTGATTATATGTTTGTTTATTATGAAAGTCTTACAAATGTGATGTTTAGATTTATGAACCTTATTGAAATTCAGGTCGAATCGCAATGGCAAGGTAAACAACTGAAGCATTTAATACCATTGATCACGCAGCAATTTCGTCGTATCATTCAGCGAAAACACGTTTTTCCGAATTACAAAATTCGATATCGACCATTCTTCAATAATCCACTCCTGATGCCTTCACCTCCGATCGGTAAATTTTTTCTTTTTTTCTGTGTTCATTTATGCATCCGAAGAATTTCTCGGAGAGATTATTGCTTCCAAATTTCCAGTGTTATATGGTTGTATTTTTCAATAGTCAGGCTCTCTAAGAACTGCATACAGATAGTTCAGTGCTATTGCGGGGAATATTTCATCGTGTTGGTTTTCAATAACTGATATTTTAACAGTGGAGATGAACTCCGTAACGTCAAATGATTGTTGAAATATAAATGTGGTAGTGAACAGGCACGAATTTCGTATTGAAATATTTGTTTGTTTCGTTGAATAGGTCGATTCAATTGAAATCTCATTGAAGGTGCATTCGATCATATCAAACTCATTGGTGGTCTAGAAGTGACTGTACTGCAATGTACACGTTTGAACACCTCACTGGCTGCGTTAGATCATTCTGAAGTGTATTGCACTGTGTGCATCGGTATGAAGTATTATTTAATTTCTAGTATTATTTTTATTATTGTATTTAGTTCACGAATTAAATGTCTCGGGAAATAGAATCGTATGAAAGATTTGTGCATTTAACATACGCTCGAATCGTTACTGGTTATTGAATTGAATCCATTCAGCAGATTTTTTTTCGCAGCTTCATATCTGTTTTAAATAACCAACGCATTGGACATTGCGGAAGAGAGGGTTGCGAATTAACGAATAAGTTTCGCATGAAACATTTGTGAAAGATATAAAACATTTGTGGAAGATTATCACTGAATATGTGACTAATTGAACTTTCAAGTGTGTTTACCTATCTGAGTGGTATAAATTGTTTAACAATCATCAACATGAAAACGCTTTTCGATTGGAAACTCTTTCATATTTTTCTGTACAGAACACCGTCCGTTCACGCACAATACAACATCAAATTCGTTGCAATCGACTACACTTCTGGTGAACTTTATGCGACACGGCCTGATGGAACCTCTTGGATTGTCGTTTATCAACGTTAGACATTTTANTTTATTAGCTGATTATTTTACACGTCCAGATCCATTTACATTTGCAGCGGCTAAGTAGAAAACTACGGAAAGAAATTCTATTCTTGAGTACATTTTTAGCTGAATCAATTTTCAGTCTGCAAACGAATTGGGTTTGAGAACAGTTCAGATCAATGCCATCGAGTCTGGATCAGCAGCTGAACGATGCGGTTTTCTGAAAGGTGTTATTATGATTGTTTTATTTTGATTGTCTCCAACTGAGATGATGAAAGTATCCGGAAACTTTTGTGACTGAATAATTTAAAGTGTGAGTGAGTGGTTGAGGTAGTGTTTAGTAGTTGAATTTCAGGTGATACAATATTGGCCATAAATAACGTACCAATACAAAGTGACAGACAGGTGAGTCGTTTGTTGTGTGGTAGTGTGAGTGAATTGAACGTTCTGATAGAGAGAGGAATCAACGATTCCAACTGCACATCACCGCAACTCAACGTCGATCGTTCGTCGTTAACATTTGATTATTTATCATTATTACTATCATTGATAACTGTGTTTGCTCATAAAAATTTCTGTTCTAATGCATCATTATTTTCGGTAATCTGATGTATTGCTGAATCTCAAAACTAGTTCATATTGCTCATTTGATGTTGGGTTGATGTTATTTTGAATGCAAATTGTCACTTCAGTTTTAGTGATTCGTTAAAAATGTGATGCATTCAGTTTAGCA